GCCCAGGTGATGCCCAGGTGTCCCCAGGTGTGCCCCTCAAGTGGTACAAGAACGGGCAGCTCCTCAAGCCCAGCAACAAGTGAGGCCCGGGGGGGTGCCCAGGTGTGCCCAGGTGTGCCCAGGTGTGCCCAGGTGTGCCCAGGTAACCCCCCAGGTGTGCCCAGGTGTGCCCCTCAAGTGGTACAAGAACGGGCAGCTCCTCAAGCCCAGCAACAAGTGAGGCCCGGGGGGGTGCCCAGGTGTGCCCAGGTGTGCCCAGGTGTGCCCAGGTGACCCCCCAGGTGTGCCCAGGTGTGCCCAGGTGTGCCCAGGTGTGCCCCCAGGTGTGCCCAGGTGTGCCCAGGTGCCCCCAGGTGTGCCCAGGTGACCCCCCATGTGCCCCCAGGTGCCCCCAGGTGTGTCCAGGTGCCCCCAGGTGTGTGCCCAGGTGACCCCCCAGGTGTGCCCAGGTAACCCCCAGGTGTGTCCAGGTGTGTCCAGGTGACCCCCCAGGTGTGCCCAGGTAACCCCCAGGTGTGTCCAGGTGTGTCCAGGTGACCCCCCAGGTGTGCCCAGGTGTGCCCAGGTGTACCCAGGTGTGTCCAGGTGTGCCCAGGTGACCCCCCAGGTGTGCCCAGGTGTGCCCAGGTGTGCCCAGGTGACCCCCCAGGTGACCCCCAGGTGTGTCCAGGTGTGCCCCTCAAGTGGTACAAGAACGGGCAGCTCCTCAAGCCCAGCAACAAGTGAGGCCCGGGGGGGGTGCCCAGGTGTGCCCAGGTAACCCCCAGGTGTGCCCAGGTGTGCCCAGGTGCCCCCAGGTGTGCCCAGGTGTGCCCAGGTGTGCCCAGGTGCCCAGGTGTGCCCAGGTGTGCCCAGGTGTGCCCCTCAAGTGGTACAAGAACGGGCAGCTCCTCAAGCCCAGCAACAAGTGAGGCCCGGGGGGGTGCCCAGGTGTGCCCAGGTGTGCCCAGGTGTGCCCAGGTAACCCCCAGGTGTGCCCAGGTGTGCCCAGGTGTGCCCAGGTAACCCCCAGGTGTGCCCAGGTGTGTCCAGGTGTGCCCAGGTGTGCCCCTCAAGTGGTACAAGAACGGGCAGCTCCTCAAGCCCAGCAACAAGTGAGGCCCGGGGGGTGCCCAGGTGTGCCCAGGTGTGCCCAGGTGTGCCCAGGTGTGCCCAGGTAACCCCCCAGGTGTGCCCAGGTGTGTCTCTGACCCCCCAGATGTGTCTGTGACCCCCCAGGTGTGCCCAGGTGTGTCTGTGCCCCCCCAGGTGTGTCTGTGCCCCCCCAGGTGTCCCCAGGTGTCCCCAGGTGTCCACAGGTGCCCACAGGTGTCCCCAGGTGTATTTTACCCCCCCCAGGTGTATTTTACCCCCCCCAGGTGTCCCCAGGTGTATTTGACCCCCAGGTGTATGTGTGCCCCTAGGTGTATTTTACCCCCCAGGTGTCCCCAGGTGTCCCCAGGTGTCCCCAGGTGTATTTAGCCCCCAGGTGTGCTCAGGTGTGTTTTGTCCCCAGGTCCGTGTTTGAGAACGTGGGGCTGAAGCGCATCCTCGCCCACCCAGAAGTGCTCCCTGTCCCGTGTCCCCCAGGTGTGTGCCCCCAGGTGTCCCCAGGTGTGCCCAGGTGTATTTGTACCCCCCAGGTGTGCTCAGGTGTATTTGGACCCCAGGTGTGCCCAGGTGTGTTTGCCCAGGTGTTGCCCCCAGGTGTGTCCAGTGTGACCCGCCAGGTGTGCCCAGGTGTGTGTGCCCTAGGTGTCGCCCCAGGTGTGCCCTGGTGTACCCCCCAGGTGTGCCCCAGGTGTGTCCAGGTGTGTCCCCCAGGTGTGTCTGTGAACGTGGGGCTGAGCTCATCCTGCACCACCCAGAAGTGCTCCCTGTCCCGTGTGCCCCCAGGTGTCCCCAGGTGTTCGTGCCCCAGGTGTGTCTTGCCCCCAGGTGTGCCCAGGTGTGTCTGGTGCCCCCAGGTGTGTTCCCAGGTGTGCCCCCAGGTGTGCCCAGGTGTGTCTTGTGACCCCCAGGTGTGTCTGAGCGTGTGGCTGTAGCGCATCCTCACCATCCAGAAACGCTCGCTGTCCCCAGTGTCCCAGCCCCAGGTGCGCCCCAGGTGTGCCAGGTGTCCCCAGGTGTTTGCTCAGGTGACCCCCAGGTGTGTCCCAGGTGTATTTTGTGCCCCCAGGTGTGCCCAGGTGTGTTTATCCCCCAGGTCGTGTTTGAGAACGTGGCTAGCGCATCCTCCCACCCAGAAGTGCTCCCTGTCCTCGTGACCCCCAGGTGTCCCCAGGTGTCCCTAGGTGTCCCCAGGTGTCCCCAGGTGTGTCTGTAGCCCCCAGGTGTCCCCTGTGTCCCCAGGTGTCCCCAGGTGTTTTTAGGCCCCCAGGTGTGCCCCAGGTGTCCCCAGGTGTCCCCAGGTGTCCCCAGGTGTATCTGTACCCCCAGGTGTATCTTTGACCCCCAGGTGTCCCCAGGTGTATTTGTGCCCCCAGGTCCGTGTTTGAGAACGTGGGGCTGAAGCGCATCCTCCCCACCCAGAAACGCTCCCTGTCCCCGTGTCCCCCCCCAGGTGTCCCCAGGTGTCCCCAGGTGTATTTTAGCCCCCCAGGTGTCCCCAGGTGTATTTTACTCCACCCAGGTGTATTTTACCCCCAGGTGTGCCCAGGTGTGCCCAGGTGTGTTTTTGGACCCCCCAGGTCCGTGTTTGAGAACGTGGGGCTGAAGCGCATCCTCACCATCCAGAAACGCTCCCTGTCCCCGTGTCCCCCCCCAGGTGTCCCCAGGTGTCCCCAGGTGTCCCCAGGTGTATTTTTGGACCCCCCCAGGTGTCCCCAGGTGTATTTGTACCCCCAGGTGTTCTCAGGTGTGTCTTATCCCCCAGGTCCGTGTTTGAGAACGTGGGGCCAGAGCGCATCCTCCCACCCAGAACGCTCCATGTCCCGTGTCCCCCAGGTGCCCCCAGGTGTCCCCAGGTGTCCCCAGGTGTGTTTGACCCCCCCAGGTGTCCCCAGGTGTCCCCAGGTGTCCCCAGTTGTCCCCAGGTGTATTTTACCCCCAGGTGTCCCAGGTGTCCCCAGGTGTCCCCAGTTGTCCCCAGGTGTATTTTACCCCCCCAGGTGTCCCCAGGTGTCCCCAGGTGTCCCCAGTTGTCCCCAGGTGTATTTTACCCCCCCAGGTGTCCCCAGGTGTCCCCAGGTGTCCCCAGGTGTATTTTACCCCCCCCAGGTGTATTTTAGCCCCCCCAGGTGTATTTTACCCCCCCCAGGTGTATTTTTAACCCCCCCAGGTGTGCTCAGGTGTATTTTTGGACCCCCAGGTCCGTGTTTGAGAACGTGGGGCTGAAGCGCATCCTCCCCACCCAGAAACGCTCCCTGTCCCCGTGTCCCCCCCCAGGTGTCCCCAGGTGTCCCCAGGTGTATTTTACCCCCCCCAGGTGTATTTTTACCCCCCCCCAGGTGTTCTCAGGTGTGTTTTATCCCCCCCCAGGTCCGTGTTTGAGAACGTGGGGCTGAAGCGCATCCTCCCCACCCAGAAACGCTCCCTGTCCCCGTGTCCCCCCCCAGGTGTCCCCAGGTGTCCCCAGGTGCCCCCAGGTGCCCCCAGGTTTATTTTACCCCCCCAGGTGTCCCCAGGTGTATTTTAGCCCCCCCAGGTGTGCTCAGGTGTGTTTTCTGTCCCCCCCATGTCCGTGTTTGAGAACGTGGGGCTGAAGCGCATCCTCCCCACCCAGAAACGCTCCTGTCCCCGTGTCCCCCCCAGGTGTCCTCAGGTGTCCCCAGGTGTATTTTTAGCCCCCCCAGGTGTGCTCAGGTGTGCTCAGGTGTATTTTTGGACCCCCCCAGGTCCGTGTTTGAGAACGTGGGGCTGAAGCGCCTCCTCCCCACCCACAAACGCTCCCTGTCCCCGTGTCCCCCAGTTGTCCCCAGGTGTCCCCAGGTGTCCCCAGGTGTATTTACCCCCAGGTGTATTTTACCCCCCAGGTGTGCTCAGGTGTGTTTAATCCCCTCTCCAGGTCCGTGTTTGAGAACGTGGGGCTGAAGCGCATCCTCCCCACCCAGAAACGCTCCCTGTCCCCGTGTCCCCCCCAGGTGTCCCCAGGTGTCCCCAGGTGTATTTTAACCCCCCCCAGGTGTCCCCAGGTGTGCTCAGGTGTATTTTCTGTCCCCCCCAGGTCCGTGTTTGAGAACGTGGGGCTGAAGCGCATCCTCCCCACCCAGAAACGCTCCCTGTCCCCGTGTCCCCCCCCAGTTGTCCCCAGGTGTTTTTTAGGCCCCCAGGTGTCCCCAGGTGTCCCCAGGTGTCCCCAGGTGTCCCCAGGTGTATTTTTACCCCCCCCAGGTGTGCTCAGGTGTATTTTTGGACCCCCCCAGGTGTGCCCAGGTGTGTTTTATCCCCCCCAGGTACGTGTTTGAGAGCAGTGGGGCTAGGCGCATCCTCACCATCCAGAAATGCTCCCTGTCCCCGTGTCCCCCAGGTGCCCCCAGGTGTCCCCAGGTGCCCCCAGGTGTATTTTACCCCCCCCAGGTGTGCTCAGGTGTGTTTTTGGACCCCCCCAGGTACGTGTTTGAGAACGTGGGGCTGAAGCGCATCCTCACCATCCAGAAATGCTCCCTGGCCGACGACGCCGCCTACGAGTGCCGCGTCAACGACGAGAAGAGCTTCACCGAGGTCTTCGTCAAGGGTGGGTGGGGTTTGTTTTGAGGGGTTTGGGGTGTTGGGACCCCCTGATCCGTGTGCCCCCCAGAGCCCCCGTGACCATCATGAAGGGCCCCGAGGACCAGCAGGTGGTGGTGGGGAGCGCGTGGTGCTCGAGGCCGAGGTGTCCGAGGAGGGGCGCACGTCATGTGGTGAGTGGGGGAGGGGAGAACACGCGTGTTCATGTGTGTTGTCGCGTGTGTGGGGTCGTGGGACTGTCCTGTGTCTGTCCTGTGTCTGTCCTGTGTCACCAATGTCCCCCAATGCCCCAAATGTCCCCGATCCCCCAATGTCCCCCCAATGTCCCCAAATCCCCCAGTGTCCCCAAGACCCCAAATGTCCCCAATCCCCCAAATGCTCCCAAACATCCCCAAATCCCCCAAATCCCTCAAATCCCCCAATCCCCCAAATGTCCCCAACATCCCCAATCCCCCTAAATGTCCCCAACACCCCCAACATCCCCCATGTCCCCAAATCCCCCAAATCCCCCAATCCCCCAACACCCCCAAATGTCCCCAATCCCCAAATGTTCCCAAACATCCCCAAATCCCCCAAATCCTCAAATCCCCCAATCCCCCAAATGTCCCCAACACCCCAAATCCTCCCAATGCCCCAAATCCCCCAACACCCTCAATCCCCCAAACGTCCCCAATCCCCCAAATCTCCCCAACATTCCCAACACCTCAAATCCCCCAAATCCCCCAACATCCCCAATCCCCCAAATCCCCCAACACCCCCATCCCCCAAATCCCCCAAATGTCTCCAATCCCCAACAACCCCAATCCCCCAGATCCCTCAAATCCCCCAAGACCCACAAATGTCCCCAACACCCCCAACATCCCCAATGTCCCCAAATCTCCCCAACATCCCCAATCCCCCAAATCCCCCAATCCCCCAAATGTCCCCAACACCCCCAAATCCCCCAACCCCCAACACCCCTAAACATCCCCAATCCCCAAATCCCCCAAATCTCCCCAACATCCCCATCCCCAAATCCCCCAAATGTCCCCAACACCCCAACATCCCCCATGTCCCCAGATCCCCCAATCCCCCAACATCCCCAAATCCCCCAAACACCCCCAAATCCCCCAAATCCCCCAAATCCCCCAAATCCCCCAAACACCCCAATCCCCCAAATCCCCAAATGCCCCCAAATTCCCAAATCTCCCCAACACCCCCAATGTCCCCAAATCCTCCCAATCCCCCAAATCCCCCAACACCCCAATCCCCCAATCCCCCAAATCTCCCCAACATCCCCAACACCCCCAAATGTCCCCAAATCTTCCCAACACCCCCAACACCCCCAAATGTCCCCAAATCTTCCCAACACCCCAATCCCCCAAACGCCCCTAATGTCCCTAACACCCCCAATCCCCAAATCCCCCAACACCCTCAATCCCTCAACACTCAAATCCCCCAAACGCCCCAACACCCCCAACACCCCCAATCCCCCAAATCCCCCAACATCCCCAACACCCCAAATGTCCCCAACACCCCAAATCCCCCAATCCCCCAAATCCCCCAAACCCCCAAATCCCCTAAATCCCCCAAATTTCCCGAATCCCCCAAATTTCCCACCCCCTCCTTGACCCCCAGGATGAAGGACGGGGTGGAGCTGACCCACGACGAGACCTTCAAGTACCGCTTCAAGAAGGACGGGAAGAGGCATTTCCTGATCCTCAACGAGGCCACCCTGGACGACACCGGGAGGTACAAGATCCTCACCAACGGAGGGGAGGCCGAGGCTGAGGTCATCGTCGAAGGTGGGGGCTCCTGGGGGATTTGGGAGTCCTGGGGGTCCTGGAGTGGGATTGAGGCGGATTTGAGGGGATTTGAGGGAGGGGATTTGAGGATTTGGGAGAGGATCTGGGGGGATTTTGGGGGATTTGGGGGGATTTGAGGGATTGAGGGGTTTAGAGAGGATTTTGGGGTGATTTGGGGGATTTGAGGGGATTTGGGGGATTTGGGGGGATTTGGGGGATTTGAGGGATTTGAGGGGGATTTGAGGGGATTTGAGGGGATTTGGAGGGGTTTGAGGGGATTTGGGAGGCTCCTGAGGGGATTTGGGAGGATTTGAAGGGGGATCTGGGGGATTTGGGGGATTTGGGGGATTTGGGGGGATTTGGGAGGTTTGAAGGGGATTTGGGGAGGATTTAGGGTGATTTGTGGGGTCCTGTGGGGACCCTCCTCCAGCTGGAGGTGCTGCAGGGTAGCCCAGGGGGGTCCCTGGTGATCTCCAGGTGATCTCCAGGTGATCCCATCCCACCTCTGTGAGGTCCCAGGGACAGGTGGGGGTTCCCCTGGATAGATGGGGGGTCCCAGCCCACTGTGGGGGTCTCCCCCCCCCTTTTTCCCCCCCAGAGAAGCAGCTGGAGGTGCTGCAGGGCAGCCCAGGGGTGTCCCAGGTGTATCTCAGGTGATCTCCAGGTGATCCCATGAGGTCCCACGGACAGGTGGGGGTTCCCCCGGATAGATGGGGGGTCCCTGCCCACTGTGGGGGTCTCCACCCCCCATTTTTGCCCCCCAGAGAAGCAGCTGGAGGTGCTGCAGGGCAGCCCAGGGGTGTCCCAGGTGTATCTCTGGTGTATCTCAAATGTATCTCAGGTGATCTCCAGGTGATCCCATCCCACCTTTGTGAGGTCCCACAGTCAGGTGGGGGTTCCCCCAGACAAATGGGGGGTCCCAGCCCACTGTGCCCCCCTTTTTCCCCCCCAGAGAAGCAGCTGGAGGTGCTGCAGGGCAGCCCAGGGGGGTCCCAGGGGGGTCCCAGGATGTCCCTGGGGTGTCCCAGGTGTATCTCGGGTGATCTCCAGGTGATCCCATCCCACCTCTGTGAGGTCCCACGGACAGGTGGGGGTTCCCCCAGATAGATGGGGGGTCCCAGCCCACTGTGCCCCCCTTTTCCCCCCCAGAGAAGCAGCTGGAGGTGCTGCAGGGCATCGCTGACCTGACGGTGCAGGCGGCCGAGCAGGCCGTGTTCAAGTGCGAGGTGTCGGACGAGAAAGTCACCGGCAAGTGGTTCAAGAACGGCGTCGAGGTCCGGCCCAGCAAGCGCATCCACATCACCCACACCGGCAGGTCAGGGACCCCCGAGGCCCCTGAGCCCCCTGAGCCCCCTGGGCCCCCTAGCTCGGGAGGACCCCAAAAATGGGGAGGGGTAAATGGGAGTCCGGCCAGCAAGCGCATCCACATCACCCACACCGGCAGGTCAGGGACCCCCGAGCCCCTGGGCCCCCGAGCCCCTAGGCCCCGAGGCCCCCGAGCCCCCTGGGCCCCCAGCTCGGGGGACCTCCAAGTGGGGATAGGGGACTTAGGGAGGGAGTAAATGGGGAGTCCAGCCCAGCAAGCGCATCCACATCACCCACACCGGCAGGTCAGGGACCCCTGAGCCCCCTGAGCCCCTGAGCCCCTGAGCCCCTGGGACCCCTGAGCCCCCTGGGACCCCAAAAATGGGGAGGGGTAAATGGGAGGTCCGGCCCAGCAAGCGCATCCACATCACCCACACCGGCAGGTCAGGGACCCCAGGCCCCGAGCCCCCTGGGCCCCCTGGGACCCCAGGCCCCCTGAGCCCCCTGGGTCCCCTGAGCCCCCGGACCCCTAGCTCCGGGGACCCCAAATGGGGATAGGGGCCTGGGGAGGGTAAATGGGGGTTCTGGCAAGCGCCTCTGATCACCCACCGGGAGGTCTTGGAGGCACCTGAGGGTGCTCTGAGCCTAGGCCTTTGGAGCCTCCTGAGGCATCTCATGAGGTCTTGGTGGCCCCTGGAAATGTTGGAGGGGTCAATGGGGGTCGCCCATGAGCGCATCCACATCACCCACACCGGCAGGTCAGGGACCCCTGAGCCCCCTGGCCCCCTGAGACCCCTGGGCCCCTGAGCCCCTGGGACCCCTGGGCCCCCTGAGGCCCCCTGAGCCCCCAGGCCCCTGGGACTCCCAAAAATGGGGAGGGGTAAATGGGGAGTCGGCCAACAAGCGCATCCACATCACCCACACCGGCAGGTCAGGGACCCCAGGCCCCCTGAGCCCTGGGACCCCTGGAGGACCTTAGGGCCCCAGCTCAGGGGACCCCCAAAAATGGGGGAGGGGGTTGGGGAGGAGTGTAGTAGGGGTTGGGGGGCGCCTCTGAGGTGATTTGGGGGTCTTGGAAGGCACCTGGGGGGTTTCTTGGGGAGTCTTGGAGGTGTCCATGGGGGTCCTGGAGGCACCTGGGGGGTGTTTTGGGGTCCTGGGAGTCACCATGGGGGTCTTGGGGGGCACCTCTGAGGAATCTGGGGGGTCTTGGAGGAGCTCATGGGGGTCTTGGAGGCACCTGGGGGATTTGGGGGAGTCTTGGAGGCACCTGGAGGTGTCTTGGGGAGTCCTGGAGGTGCCCATGGGGTCACATCACCCTACACCGGCAGGTCAGGGACCCCAGAGCCCCGAGGCCCCTGGGCCCTCTGGGACCCCTGAGCCCCCTGAACCCCCAGCTCAGGAGGACCCCCAAAAATGGGGAAGAGGGGTTAGGGGGTCTGGGGGAGGGGGGTAAATGGGGGTTTGGAGGCTCCTCTGGGGGATTTGGGGGGTCTTGGAGGCACCTGGGGGAGTGTTTTGAGGTCCCTAGGATCGCCCATGGGGATCTTGGAGGCCCCTGGCAGGAGATTTTGGGGGATCTTGGAGGAGCTCATGGGCGTCTTGGAGGCACCTGGGGGAGTGTTTTGAGGGGACCTTTGGGGGTCTTGGGGGCACCTCTGGGGCTTTTTGGGGGGTTGGGGGTCCTGGGGTCACCCGTGGGGGTCTTGGGGGTCCTGGGGTCACCGTGGGGGTCTCGGGGGACTCGTGTCACCCCTGGGAGCCCCAGGATCCCCAAGCCCTCGATCGATGACCCCGAGGACAGGGGGACGATTTTGGGGGATTTTGGGGGTATTTTGGGCTGTTTTGAGCTGTTTTGAGCTGGTTTGGGGGGTTCTCAGGGGTCTTGGGGGTCTCAGGACCCCCAGGTGACCCCCGGCCCCTCCAGGATCCCCAAGCTGGTGATCGATGACGTGCGGCCCGAGGACGGGGGCGATTTTGGGGGGGATTTTGGGGTATTTTGGGCTGTTTTGAGCTGGTTTGGGGGGTTTGGGGGTCTCAGGGCTGGTTTGGGGGTCTCTGGGGGTCTCTGGTGACCCCGTGCCCCAGGATCCACAAGCTGGTGATCGATGACGTGCGGCCCGAGGACGATATTTTGGGGGTTGGGCTGTTTGGGCTGGTTTGGGGGAGTTTGGGGGTCTCGGGACCCCCCAGGTGACCCGGTCCCCAGGATCCCCAAGCTGGTGATCGATGACGTGCGGCCCGAGGGCGAGGGTGATTTTGGGGGATTTTGGGGATTTTGGGCTGCTTTAGGGTTGGTTTGGGGGTCTCAGGGCTGGTTTGGGGTCTCAGGGCTGGTTTGGGGGTCTCGGGACTGGTTCAGGGGGTCCCTCTGGTGACCCCCCGTGCCCCCAGGATCCCCAAGCTGGTGATCGATGACGTCCGGCCCGAGGATGAGGATGATTTTGGGGTTTGGGTATTTTGAGCTGGTTTGAGGGTGTCGAGGCTGGTTTGGGGGTCTCTGGGCGGGTCTGTGGGTGACCCCCGTGCTCCCAGGATCCACAAGCTGGTGATCGATGACGTGGGGCCCGAGGACGAGGGCGATTTTGGGGGGGTTGGGCAGGTTTGGGGTCTCAGGACTGGTTTGGGGGTCTCGGGACCCCCAGGTGACCTCCGTGCCCCCAGGATCCCCAAGCTGGTGATCGATGACGTGCAGCCCGAGGGCAGGGACGATTTTTGGGGGATTTTGGGGTATTTTGGGCTGTTTTGAGCTGTTTTGAGCTGGTTTGGGCTGGTTTGGGGGTCTCGGGACCCCCCCCAGGTGACCCCCCCGTGCCCCCAGGATCCCCAAGCTGGTGATCGATGACGTGCAACCCAAGGGCAGGGATGATTTTAGGGGGGATTTTGGGGTATTTTGGGCTGTTTTGGGCTGGTTTGGGGGGGGTTTGGGGGTCTCAGGACCCCCAGGTGACCCCCCCGTGCCCCCCCAGGATCCCCAAGCTGGTGATCGATGACGTCAGGCCCGAGGATGAGGGTGATTTCTGGGGGAGTTGGGCTGTTTTGAGCTGTTTTGGGCTGGTTTGGGGGCTTGGTCTTGGGGGGTTTGGGGGTCTCAGGACCCCAGATGACCCCGGTCCCCAGGATCCCCAAGCTGGTGATCGATGACGTGCAACCCGAGGACGATTTTGGGGGGGGTGGTTGGGCTGTTTGGGGCTGTTTTGGGGGGTTTGGGGGGGTTTGGGGGTCTCGAGGGGGATCAGAGGTCTCGACTTCGGTGACCCCCGTGCCCCCAGGATCCACAAGCTGGTGATCGATGACGTTCGGCCCGAGGGCGATTTTGGGGGGATTGGGTTGTTTTGAGCTGGTTTGAGCTGGTTTGGGGGGGTTTGGGCTGGTTTGGAGGGGGTTGGGGGTCTCAGAACCCCCCCAGGTGACCCCGTGCCCCCAGGATCCACAAGCTGGTGATCGATGACGTCCGTCCCGAGGATGATATTTGGGGGGGTGTTTGGGCTGTTTTGGGCTGGTTTGGGGGGGAGGTTTGGGGGGTCTCAGGACCCCCAGGTGACCCCGTGCCCCAGGATCCACAAGCTGGTGATCGATGACGTCAGGCCCGAGGATGAGGGGGATTACACCTTCGTGCCCGACGGATACGCCCTCACCCTCTCGGCCAAGCTCAACTTCCTCGGTGGGACACGCGGGGAGGGATTTGGGGGGGATTTGGGGGGTTTGGGGGGTCTGGGGGGATTTGGGGGTATTTGGGGAACTCTGGGGGGATTTGTGAGGGATTTGGGGGGTGTTTGGGGGATTTGGGGGGGATTTGGGGGATTTGGGGGATTTGGGAGGGTCAGGGGGTATTTGGGGGGAGTTTGGGGGGATTTGGGGGGGGATGTGGGTGGGTTTTGGGGGATGTTTAGGGGTCTGGGGGGATTTGGGGGGTCTGGGGGGTTGGGGGGTTTGGGGGGATTTGGGGGGTTTGGGGGGATTTGGGGGGTCTGAGGGATGTTTGGGGGTCTGGGGGGATTTGGGGGGTCTGGAGGGATATTTGTGAGGGATTTGGGGGTGTTTGGGGGGTCTGGGGGGATTTGGGGGTTTTGGGGGAGTTTGGGGGGTCTGAGGATGTTTGGAGGGGGTCTGGGGGGGATTTGGGGGTCTAGGTGGGTTTGGGGGGTGTTTGGGGGGGTCTGGGGGGAGTTTGGGGGGAGATTTGGGGGTGTTTGGGGGTCTAGGGGGATTTGGGGGGGATTTGGGGGGTCTGGGGGCTATTTGAGGGGCACTTATGGGGTGGTCTTGGGGGGATTTGGGGGGTCTCTGACATCACTGGGTGGGGTTGGGGGTCTCTGACGTCACAAGGGGGTTGTGACATCATTGGGGGGGTTTTGGGGTCTCTGACGTCACAGAGGGGTTGATGACGTCACCGTGGGGAGGGAGTGGTCTTTGGGGTCTCCACTGACCCTCCCCCTCCCCTCTTTGTGTCCTCCCCTCCCCACCCCAGAGATCAAGGTCAGTACGTCCCAAAACAAGGTGAGGGGAGGGGGGAGGGGAGGGGACAGAGAGGGGAGGGGACATTTAAAAGGGGAGGGGACAGCGAGGAGGGGAGGGGTCATTGAGAAGGGGAGGGACATTGAAAAGGGGAGGGGACAGCGAAGAGGGGAGGGGACAGTGAAAGGGAGGAGGAGAGAGGGGAGGGAACACTGAAAAGGGAAGGGGACATTGAAAAGGGGAGGGGACAGTGAAGAGGGGAGGGGACAGTGAAAGAGGGGAGGGGACAGTGAAAAGGGGAGGGGACATCGAGGAGGGGAGGGACATTGAAAGGGGAGGGGACATTGAAAGGGGGGACATTGAAAGGGGAGGGGACAGTGAAAAGGGGAGGGGACATTGGAAAGGGGAGAGGACAGTGAAAGAGGAGGGGACATTGAAAAGGGGGAGGGGACAGTGAAAGGGGAGGGGAAAGTGAAAGGGGAGGGGACATCAAAAAGGGGAGGGGACACTGAAAGGGGAGGGGACAGCAGGGAGGGGAGGGGACAGTGAGGAGGGGAGGGGACAGTGAAAGGGGGAGGGGACAATGAAAGGGGAGGGGACAATGAAAGGGGAGGGGACATCGAGGAGGGAGGGGACATCGAGAAGGGGTCAGTGCCATCCCCGTACCCCCAGAGCCCCCCAAGATCCACCTGGACTGCTCGGGGCGGGACTCGGAGAACACCCTGGTGGTCGTGGCCGGGAACAAACTGAGGCTCGACGTGCCCATCTCGGGGGAGCCCCTGCCCACCGTCACCTGGACCAAGGATGGACAGGTGAGACCCCTCAGGACACACCTGAGACCCCCCAAAACCCCCCCAGTGTCCCCCTGTCACCCTGAGCCCCCCCAGTGTCACCCCAGTGTCCCTGTGTCACCCCCCGTGCCCATCTCGGGGGAGCCCCTGCCCACCGTCACCTGGACCAAGGACGGACAGGTGAGACCCCCTGGGACCCCCTGGGACCCCCCTGTGTCACCCTGAGCCCCCCCAGTGTCCCTGTGTCACCCCAGTGTCCCTGTGTCACCCCCCGTGCCCATCTCGGGGGAGCCCCTGCCCACCCTCACCTGGACCAAGGACGGACAGGTGAGACCCCTAGGACACACCTGAGACCCCCTGTGTCACCTGAACCCCCAGTGTCCCCTGTCACCCTGAGGCCCCCAGTGTCCCTGTGTCACCCCCGTGCCCATCTCGGGGAGCCCCTGCCCACCCTCACCTGGACCAAGGATGGACAGGTGAGACCCCAGAGACCCCCTAAGACCCCCTGTGTCACCTGTGCCCCCAGTGTCCCTGTGTCACCCCAGTGTCCCTGTGTCACCCTAGGCCCCCTGTCACCCTGGGCCCCCAGTGTCACCCCAGTGTCCCTGTGTCACCCCCCGTGCCCATCTCAGGGCAGCCCCTGCCCACCCTCACCTGGACTAAGGATGGACAGGTGAGACCCCCAGGATCCCCCGAGATACACCTGGGACCCCCCAGTCCCCACCTGTCCCCACCTGTCCTCACATGTCCCACCTGTCCCCATGTGTCCCTACCTGTCCTCACCTGTCCCCATGTGTCCCCACTGTCCCTCACCTGTCCCCACATGTCCTCACCTGTCCCAAGTGTTCTCACCTGTCCCCACCTGTCCCCACCTGTCCCCACCTGTCCCTACGTGTCCCCACGTGTCCCCAGGTGTTCTCACCTGTCCCCACTTGTCCCTCACCTGTCCCCACCTGTCTCCACATGTCCCCACATGTCCCCACCTGTCCCAGGTGTTCTCACCTGTCCCCACCTGTCCCCACCTGTCCCAGGTGTCCCCACCTGTCCCCATCTGTCCTCACCTGTCCCCAGGTGTTCTCACCTGTCCCCACCTGTCCCTCACCTGTCCCAGGTGTTCTAACCTGTCCCTTACCTGTCCCCACCTGTCCCCATCTGTCCCCACCTGTCCCCAAGTGTTCTCACCTGTCCCCTTCTGTCCCCTCACGTGTCCCCACATGTCCCCACCTGTCCCAGGTGTTGTCACCTGTCCCCACCTGTCCCTACCTATCCAAGGTGTCCCCACCTGTCCCCATCTGTCCCCACCTGTCCCCAGGTGTTCTCACCTGTCCAAGGTGTTCCCACCTGTCCCCACCTGTCCCTACCTATCCAAGGTGTCCCCACCTGTCCCCATCTGCCCCCACCTGTCCCCACCTCTCCCCACATGTCCCCACCTGTCCCCAGGTGTCCCCACCTGTCCCCAGGTGTTCTCACCTGTCCAAGGTGTCTCCACCTGTCCCCACCTGTCCCCATCTGTCTCCACCTGTCCCCATCTGTCCCCACCTGTCCAAGGTGTCTCCACCTGTCCCCACCTGTCCCCATCTGTCTCCACCTGTCCCCATCTGTCCCCACCTGTCCAAGGGTTCTCACCTGTCCCCACCTGTCCCCATCTGTCTCCACCTGTCCCCATCTGTCCCCACCTGTCCCCAGATGTTCTCACCTGTCCCCACCTGTCCCCACCTGTCCCAGGTGTCCCTCACCTGTCCCCAGGTGTCCCCACCTGTGCCAGGTGTCCCTCACGTGTCCCCACCTGTCCCCACCTGTCCCCACCTGTCCCCAGGTGTCCTCACCTGTCCCAGGTGTCCCTCACGTGTCCCCACCTGTCCCCAGGTGTCCCCACCTGTCCCCAGGTGTCCTCACCTGTCCCAGGTGTCCCTCACGTGTCCCCATCTGTCCCCACCTGCCAGGTGTCCCTCACCTGTCCCCCCGTGCCCGCAGGAGTTCTCGGCGCGGGAGGGGCGGGCGCGCCTGGAGGACAAGCACGAGCTGAGCAGCTTCGTCATCGAGAGCGCCGAGCGCGGCGACGAGGGCAGGTACCAGATCCGCGTCACCAACCCCGCCGGCGAGGACACCGCCACCATCACCATCCGCGTCGTAGGTAAGGACACCTGGGGACACACCTGGGGGGGACACCTGGGGGCACACCTGGGGGGGACACCTGGGCACACCTGGGGACACACCTGGGCACACCTGGGAACATGGGGACACACCTGGGGACACACCTGGGGGGGACACCGCCACCATCACCATCCGCGTCGTGGGTAAGGACACACCTGGGGACACACCTGGGGGGGACACCTGGGGGGACACCTGGGGGGGACACCGCCACCATCACCATCCGCGTCGTGGGTAAGGACACACCTGGGCACACCTGGGGACACACCTGGGGCATGGGGACACACCTGGGGATGTGGGGACACACGTGGGGACACACATGGGGACACAGCTGGGGACACACCTGGGGACACCTGGGGACACACCTGAGGACATGGGGACACACCTGGGGATGTGGGACACACCTGGGGACACAGCTGGGGACATGGGGACACACCTGTGAGGTGTGGGGACATGGGGACACACCTGGGGGATGTGGGGACACAGCTGGGGACATGGGGACACACGTGGGGACACACCTGGGGACACACCTGGGACATGGGGACACACCTGGGGACATGAGGACACACCTGTGGGATGTGGGGACACAACTGGGACATGGGGACACACCTGGGGACATGGGGACACACCTGGGACATGGGGACACACCTGAGGGATGCTGGGGACACAACTGGGACATGGGGACACACCTGGGGACATGGGGACACACCTGGGACATGGGGACACACCTGAGGGATGTGGGGACTCACCTGGGGACATGGGGACACACCTGGGGACATGGGGACACACCTGAGGGATGTGGGACTCACCTGGGGACATGGGGACACACCTGGGGACACTGGGGACACACCTGTGGGTGTGGGGACACACCTGGGGGACACACGTGGGGACACCACGTGGGGCACACCTGGGGATACACCTGGGGACATGGGGACACACCTGGGGATGTGGGGCACACCTGGGGACACCTGGGACACACCTGGGGACACTGGGGACACACGTGGCGACACACGTGGGGCACACCTGGGGACACACCTGGGGACACACCTGGGGACACCTGGGGCACCTGGGGCACACCTGGGGACACACCTGGGGACACACCTGGGGGGGACACCTGGGGACACACCTGGGGACACCGCCACCATCACCATCTGCGTCGTGGGTAAGGACACACCTGGGCACACCTGGGGACACACCTGGGGACACACCTGGGGACACACCTGGGGACACACCTGGGGGGGACACCGCCACCATCACCATCCGCGTCGTGGGTAAGGACACACCTGGGGACACACCTGGGCACACCTGGGGACACACCTGGGGACACACCTGGGGACACATCTGGGGCATGGGGACACACCGTGGGGACACACCTGGGGGGGACACCGCCACCATCAGCATCCGTGCTGTGGGTAAGGACACACCTGGGGACACACCTGGGGGTTGGGGACACACCTGGGGACACACCTGGGGACACCTGGGGGGGACACCTGGGGGGGACACCGCCACCATCACCATCCGCGTCGTGGGTAAGGACACACCTGGGCACACCTGGGGACACACCTGGGGCATGGGGACACACCTGGGGATGTGGGGACACACGTGGGGACACACATGGGGACACAGCTGGGGACACACCTGGGGACACCTGGGGACACACCTGGGGACATGGGGACACACCTGGGGGATGTGGGGACACACCTGGGGACACAGCTGGGGACATGGGGACACCCTTGTGGGGTGTGGGGACATGGGGACACACCTGGGGGATGTGGGGACACAGCTGGGGACATGGGGACACACGTGGGGACACACCTGGGGACACACCTGGGACATGGGGACACACCTGTGGGGTGTGGGGACATGGGGACACACCTGTGGGATGTGGGGACACAACTGGGACATGGGGACACACCTGGGACATGGGGACACACCTGAGGGATGTGGGGACACAACTGGGACATGGGGACACACCTGGGGACATGGGGACACACCTGTGGGGTGTGGGGACACACCTGGGGACACACCTGGGGACATGGGGACACACCTGTGGGGTGTGGGGACACACATGGGGACACACGTGGGGACACACCTGGGGACATGGGGACACACCTGGGACATGGGGACACACCTGTGGGATGTGGGGACACAACTGGGACATGGGGACACACCTGGGACATGGGGACACACCTGTGGGGTGTGGGGACATGGGGACACACCTGTGGGATGTGGGGACACAACTGGGACATGGGGACACACCTGGGGACATGGGGACACACCTGGGACATGGGGACACACCTGGGACATGGGGACACACCTGAGGGATGTGGGGACACAACTGGGACATGGGGACACACCTGGGGACATGGGGACACACCTGGGACATGGGGACACACCTGTGGGATGTGGGGACACAACTGGGACATGGGGACACACCTGGGGACATGGGGACACACCTGGGACATGGGGACACACCTGAGGGATGTGGGGACACACCTGTGGGGTGTGGGGACACCTGGGGACACACGTGGGGACACACGTGGGGCACACCTGGGGATACACCTGGGGACATGGGGACACACCTGGGGGATGTGGGGACACACCTGGGGACACAGCTGGGGACACACCTGGGGACATGGGGACACACGTGGCGACACACGTGGGGCACACCTGGGGACACACCTGGGGACACACCTGGGGACACCTGGGGACACCTGGGGACACCTGGGGACACACCTGGGGACACCTGGGGACACCTGGGGACACACCTGGGGACACCGCCACCATCACCATCCGCGTCGTGGGTAAGGACACACCTGGGGACACCTGGGGACACACCTGGGATATGGGGGCACACCTGGGGAGGCCACCGCCACCATCACCATCCGCGTCGTGGGTAAGGACACACCTGGGCACACACCTGGGGCATGGGGACACCTGGGGACACCTGGGGGGGACACCGCCACCATCACCATCCGCATCGTGGGTAAGGACACACCTGGGCACACACCTGGGGACACACCTGGGGACACCTGGGGGCACACCTGGGACGTGGGGACACACCTGGGATATGGGGACACACCTGGGATATGGGGACACACCTGGGGGGGACACCGCCACCATCACCATCCACGTCGTGGGTAACGACACACCTGGGCACACCTGGGCACACCTGGGGGGGACACCGCCACCATCACCATCCGCGTCGTGGGTACGGACACACCTGGGTACACCTGGGGACACACCTGGGGACAAACCTGGGCACACCTGGGGGTTGGGGACACACCTGGGCACAGCTGGGGGGGACACCGCCACCATCACCATCCGCGTCGTGGGTAAGGACACACCTGGGGGCACACCTGGGGACACACCTGGGGCATGGGGACACACCTGGGGGCACACCTGGGGACACACCTGGGGGGGTGGGGACACACCTGGGATATGGGGACACACCTGGGGGGGACACCGCCACCATCACCATCCGTGTCGTGGGTAAGGACACACCTGGGGGCACACCTGGGGCATGGGGACACACCTGGGGACACACCTGGGCACAACTGGGACATGGGGACACACCTGGGGGGTGAGGACACACCTGGGGGGGACACCACCACAATCACCATCTGTGTCATGGGTAAGGACACACCTGGGGACACACCTGGGGGCACACCTGGGGGCACACCTGGGGACATACCTGGGGACACACCTGGGGGGGTGGGGACACACCTGGGGACACACCTGGGGGCACACCTGGGATATGGGGACACACCTGGGATATGGGGACACACCTGGGATATGGGGACATACCTGGGGGCACCTGGGGGCGTGGGGACACACCTGGGGGCACACCTGGGGACACACCTGGGGACACCCGTGGGGACATGGGGACACACCTGGGGATATGGGGACACACCTGGGGACATGGAGACACACCTGGGACATGGGGACACACCTGGGGACACACCTGGGGACATGGGGACACATGTGGGGACACACATGGGGACACAGCTGGGGACACACCTAGGGACATGGGGACACACCTGTGGGGTGTGGGGACATGGGGACACACCTGGGGACATGGGGACACACCTGTGGGATGTAGGGACAGATGTGGGGACATGGGGACACACCTGTGAGGTGTGGAGACACACATGGGGACACAGCTGGGGACATGGGGACCTGGGGACATGGGGACACACCTGGGGACATGGGGACACACATGGTGACACAGATGGGGACACCTGGGGACACACCTGGGGGATGAGGCGACACACATGGGGACACACCTGGGGGCACCTGGGGCATGGGGACACACCTGGGGACTTGGGGACACACCTGTGGGATATGGGGACACACGTGGCAACATACGTGGGGACACCTGGGGACACACCTGGGGACATGGGGACACACCTGTGGGATGTGGGGAGACAGGTGGTGACACATGTGGGGACATGGGGACACACCTGGGGACACAACTGGGGACATGAGGACACGCCTGGGGACATGGGGACACACCTATGGGATGTGGGGACACACGTGGGGACACAGCCGGGGACATGGGGACACAACTGGGACATGGGGATACACCTGTGGGGTGTGGGGACATGGGGACACACCTGGGGACATGGGGACACACGTGGTGACACACGTGGGGACACACCCGGGGACATGGGGACACACGTGGTGACACACGTGGGGACACAGCTGGGGACACAGCTGGGGACATGGGGACACACCTGGGGGATGTGGAGACACACCTGGGGACACAGCTGGGGACATGGGGACACCCGTGGCGACACACGTGGGGACACCTGGGGAACATGTGGGGACATGGGGACACACCTGTGGGGTGTGGGGACATGGGGACACACCTGGGGCCATGGGGACACATGTGGCGACACACGTGGGGACACCTGGGGAACATGTGGGGACATGGGGACACACCTGTGGGGTGTGGGGACAGATGTGGGGACATGGGGACACACCTGTGGGGTGTGGGGACATGGGGACACACCTGGGGACATGGGGACACATGTGGTGACACACGTGGGGCACACCTGGGGATACACCTGGGGACATGGGGACACACGTGGCGACATGGGGACACACGTGGTGACACACGTGGGGACACAGCTGGGGACACACCTGGGGACACACCTGGGGACATGGGGACACACCTGTGGGCTGTGGGGACACACCTGGGACATGGGGACACAACTGGGACATGGGGACACAGCTGTGGGATGTGGGGACACACATGGGGACACACCTGGGGACATGGGGACACAAGTGGGGACATGGGGACACACCTGTGGGGTGCGGGGACACACGTGGCGACACACGTGGGGACACCTGGGGACACACCTGGGGACATGGGGACACATGTGGCGACACACGTGGGGACACCTGGGGACACACCTGGGGACATGGGGACACACCTGAGGGATGTGGGGACACATGTGGGGACACACATGGGGACACAGCTGGGGACACACCTGGGGACACACCTGGGGACATGGGGACACATCTGTGGGGTGCGGGGACACACCTCGGGACATGGGGACACAACTGGGGACATGGGGACACATGTGGTGACACACGTGGGGACACCTGGGGAACATGTGGGGACATGGGGACACACCTGGGGGATGTGGGGACACACGTGGTGACACACCTGGGGACATGGGGACACACCTGTGGGGTGTGGGGACATGGGGACACACCTGGGACATGGGGACACAACTGGGGACATGGGGACACACCTGTGGGATGTGGGGACACACATGGGGACACACCTGGGGACATGGGGACACACCTGTGGGGTGTGGGGACATGGGGACACACCTGGGACATGGGGACACAACTGGGGACATGGGGACACACCTGGGGGATGTGGGGACACACCTGGGGACACAGCTGTGGACATGGGGACACACTTGTGGGGTGTGGGGACATGGGGACACACGTGGGGACACACGTGGGGACACACTTGTGGGGTGTGGGGACATGGGGACACACGTGGAGAAACCTGGGGACACACCTGGGGACATGGGGACACACCTGTGGGATGTGGGGACACACGGGACATGGGGACACAGCTGGGGACATGGGGACACACGTGATGACACATGTGGGGACACCTGGGGACACACCTGGGGACACACCTGGGACATGGGGACACACCTGTGGGGTGTGGGGACATTGGGATACACCTGGGACATTGGGACATGGGGACACACCTGTGGGTGTGGGGACATGGGGACACTCCTGGGGACATGGGGACACACCTGGGGGATGTAGGGACAGATGTGGGGACATGGGGACACCTGTGGGGTGTGAGGACACACTTGGGGACACAGCTGGGGATGTGGGGACACACCTGGGGACATGGGGACACACCTGTGGGGTGTGGGGACATGGGGACACACCTGGGGCCATGGGGACACACGTGGCGACACACGTGGGGACACAGCTGGGGATGGGGGGACACACCTGGGGACATGGGGGCACATGTGGTGACACACGTGGGGACACCTGGGGAACATGTGGGGACATGGGGACACACCTGTGGGATGTGGGGACACACGTGGTGACACACGTGGGGACACCTGGGGACACACCTGGGGACATGGGGACACACGTGGGACATGGGGACACACCTGGGGACACACCTGGGGACATGGGGACACATGTGGCGATGCACGTGGAGACGCAGCTGGGGACACACCTGGGGACATGAGGACACACCTGGGGACACCTGGTGACACACCTGGGGCCACACCTGTGGGATGTGGGGACATGGGGACACACCTGTGGGGTGTGGGGACATGGGGACACACCTGGGGGATGTGGGGACACACCTGGGGACACAGCTGGGGACAAACCTGGGGACATGGGGACACACGTGGGGACACACCTGGGGACATGGGGACACACCTGGGGACATGGGGACACACCTGTGGGGTGTGGAGACATGGGGACACACCTGTGGGGTGTGGGGACATGGGGACACACCTGGGGGATGTGGGGACACAGCTGGGGACATGGGGACACACGTGGGGACACACCTGGGGACACACCTGGGACATGGGGACACACCTGTGGGGTGTGGGGACATGGGGACACACCTGGGGGATGTGGGGACACAACTGGGACATGGGGACACACCTGGGACATGGGGACACACCTGAGGGATGTGGGGACTCACCTGGGGACATGGGGACACACCTGGGGACATGGGGACACACCTGTGGGGTGTGGGGACACACCTGGGGACACACGTGGGGACACACGTGGGGCACACCTGGGGATACACCTGGGGACATGGGGACACACCTGGGGGATGTGGGGACACACCTGGGGACACAGCTGGGGACACACCTGGGGACATGGGGACACACGTGGCGACACACGTGGGGCACACCTGGGGATACACCTGGGGACATGGGGACACACGTGGTGACACACGTGGCGACACACGTGGGGACACCTGGGGACACACCTGTGGGATGTGGGGACATGGGGACACACCTGGGGCCATGGGGACACATCTGTGGGATGTGGGGACATGGGGACACCTGGGGACACCTGTGGGGGCACCCCGTGGGTGTGTCCCCATGCCCAGGTGTGTCCCCTGTGTCCCCCAGACGTGCCCGACCCCCCCGAGGCCGTTCGGGTCACCTCGGTGGGCGAGGACTGGGCCGTGCTGGCCTGGGAGCCCCCCAAGTACGACGGGGGACAGCCTGTCACAGGTGAGGCACACCTGTCCCTGTCACCTGTGGCACCTGTGGCACCTGTCCTTGTCACCTGTGTCCCCTGTGTCCCCTGTGTCCCCTGTGTCCCCTGTGTTACCTGTGTCACCTGTGTCACCTGTCTTTGTCACCTGTGGCACCTGTGGCACCTGTCCCTGTCACCTGTGTCCCCTGTCCTTGTCACCTGTCCCGGTACAACAGGAGACAGCCCATCACAGGTGAGGCACACCTGGCACCTGTGTCATCTGTGTCACCTGTGTCACCTGTCCCTGTCACCTGTGTCACCTGTGTCACCTGTCCTTGTCACCTGTGTCACCTGTCCTTGTCACCTGTGGCACCTGTCCCTGTCACCTGTGTCACCTGTGTCACCTGTCCCTGTCCCTGTCACCTGTCCTGGTACGACAGGGGACAGCCCGTCACAGGTGAGGCACCCGTGCCACTGGCACCTGTCCCCTGTGTCACCTGTGTCACCTGTCCTTGTCACCTGTGTCCCCTGTGTCCCCTGTGTCCCCTGTTCTTGTCACCTGTGTCACCTGTCCTTGTCACCTGTGTCCCCTGTCCTTGTCACCTGTCCCAATATAATGGGGGACAGCTCATCATAGGTGAGGTACCCCTGTCCATGGCACCTGTGGCACTTGTGTCACCTGTCCTTGTCACCTGTGTCACCTGCCCCTGTCCCTGTCACCTGCACAGGTTACCTGGCGGAGAGGAAGAAGAAGGGCTCAATGTGTCCCCCTGTCCCTGTCCCACCTGTCCCACCTGTCCCCATCTCACCTGTCCTATCTCACCTGTCCCTGTCCCACCTGTCCCCATCTCACCTGTCCCTGTCCCTGTCCCATCTCACCTGTCCCACCTGTCCCTGTCACCTGCAGGTTACCTGGTGGAGAGGAAGAAGAAGGGCTCCATGTGTCCCACCTGTCCCACCTGTCCCTGTCCCACCTGTCCCACCTGTCCATCTCACCTGTCCCTGTCCCACCTGCAGGTTACCTGGTGGAGAGGAAGAAGAAGGGCTCCATGTGTCCCACCTGTCCTTGTCCCACCTGTCCCACCTGTCCCACCTGTCCCACCTGTCCCTGTCCCACCTGTCCCATCTCACCTGTCCCATCTCACCTGTCCATCTCACCTGTCCCACCTGTCCAGGTTACCTGGTGGAGAGGAAGAAGAAGGGCTCCATGTGTCCCACCTGTCCCTGTCCCCATCTCACCTGTCCCACCTGTCCCTGTCCCACCTGTCCCACCTGTCCCATCTCACCTGTCCCACCTGTCCCTGTCACCTGCAGGTTACCTGGTGGAGAGGAAGAAGAAGGGCTCCATGAGGTGGATGAAGCTCAACTTCGAGGTCGTGCCCGGCCCCACCTTCGAGTCCACGCGGATGATCGAGGGGGTCCTGTACGAGATGAGGGTCTTCGCCGTCAACGCCATCGGGGTCTCTGCCCCCAGCCCCAACTCCCAGCCCTTCATGCCCATCGGTGGGTCTGGGGGCTCTGGGGGGGATTTGGGGGGTCCTGGGGAGATTTTGAGGGGATTTGGGGGGGTTTGGGGGTCCTGTACGAGATGAGGGTCTTCGCCGTCAACGCCATCGGGTCTCGGCCCCCAGCCCCAACTCACAGCCCTTCATGCCCATCGGTGGGTCTGGGGGCTCTGGGGGATTGGGGGATTTGGGGGTTGGGGGATCTGGGGATTTGGGGATCCTGGGGGATTTGGGGGTTTGGGGGTCCTGTACGAGATGAGGGTCTTCGCCGTCAACGCCATCGGGGTCTCGGCCCCCAGCCCCAACTCACAGCCCTTCATGCCCATCGGTGGGTCTGGGGGTTCCAGGGGGTCTTGGGGGATTTGGGGGTCCTGGGGGATTTTGGGGGATTTGGGGGATTTGGGGGTCCTGTACGAGATGAGGGTCTTCGCCGTCAACGCCATCGGGGTCTCGGCCCCCAGCCCCAACTCACAGCCCTTCATGCCCATCGGTGGGTCTGGGGGCTCCTGGGGGTTTGGGGGATTTGGGGGTCCTGGGGTCTGGGGATTTGGGGGTCCTGGAGGGATTTGGGGGGATTTGGGGGGTTTGGGGTGTCCTGTACGAGATGAGGGTCTTCGCCGTCAACGCCTATCGGGGTCTCGGCCCCCAGCCCCAACTCACAGCCCTTCATGCCCATCGGTGGGTCTGGGGGCTCCAGGGTGGTTTGGGGGATTTGGGGGGTTGGAGGGGATTTGGGGGATTTGGGGTCCTGGAATTGATTTGAGGTTCCTGGGTGGGGTTTTGGGGTGCAGGGGGTGATTTTTGGGGTCCCCCCCGCAGCCCCCACGAGCGAACCCACCCACCTGGCACTTGTGGGGTGGGGGAGATTTAGAGGGTCCTGGTCAGGTTTTGGGGGTCCCGGTCAGGTTTTGGGGGTTTTGGGGGATCTGGGGTGGAGGTTTTGGGGTGTTCCCATTTTTGGGGTGCAGGGGATGATTTTTGGGGTGCAGGGGGTGATTTTTGGGGTCCCCCCCTGCAGCCCCCACGAGCGAACCCACCCACCTGGCCATGGAGGACGTGACGGACACGACGGCCACGCTCAAGTGGCGCCCGCCCGAGCGCATCGGGGCGGGGGGCATCGACGGCTACCTGGTGGAGTACTGCAAGGAGGGGGGTGAGTGGGGGGCCCCAAAACCTTTGGGGGGTCCCAAAATATGGGGGGGAACCCAAAATATGGAGGGGAACACCCCAAAATGGGGGGGAGACCCTGAAACATAGGGGGGCATCGACGGCTACCTGGTGGAGTACTGCAAGGAGGGGGGTGAGTGGGGGGCCCCAAAACCTTTGGGGGGGTCCCAAAATATGGGGGGGACCCCAAATTGTGGGGGGAGACCCCAAATTGTGGGGGGGACCCCCCAAATTATGGAGGAGTGGGGGAGAAACCGAGGGGAGACGCTGAAACGTTGGGTGGGCATCGACGGCTACCTGGTGGAGTACTGCAAGGAGGGGGGTGAGTGGGGGTCCCTGAAACCTTTGGGGGTCCCAAAATATGGGGGACCCCAAATTGTGGGGGGAGACCCCCCAAATTATGGAGGAGTGGGGGAGAAACCGAGGGGAGACGCTGAAACGTTGGGTGGGCATCGACGGCTACCTGGTGGAGTACTGCAAGGAGGGGGGTGAGTA